TCGTCTTCGCTGTCCCAAGTGAAACTATTATAGATATCTACGCCTTGACGGCCTATCCATAGTAGGATGTACGAGGATTTTTCATTATCTGACCTTTTTGCAAATGGGCCATTGAAAATTAGATTACAGTATTGCTTGAATCTGGCGAATTCGTCGTTGATATCGCTGGTTTCCCAGTTCATAACGGGTGGCGTGAACCCTGCGGCCATGATGTTCTATCACTGACGCGGTCTGCTAGCTGTTTTCTTTTATTTCCTGTCTTGGTATCTGATTTAACCACTTACCGAATGTCGATGTATGTTTTACCTTTCACTTCTGGCACCATGTAATGATTTCTGTTCCTTGGTGGTTGTGAAATATGGCTTTATTTTGAGTATATCAATTAGGGCTACAAATGTGTATCATACAGTSTGATAGATGGATATAGGGTTTCAGTCAATGCTATGGTATCATATGACATATAGCATGACATTGCATAATCATTAATAGCGGAGCCGAAGGCCCGCGCGAGCGGAGCACCATACCTAAGAAAAAATGGTAAACCAGCAAGTTGATTTTTCATGGCTTGGCTAACGTCACTTCCGTCCGTACGTCCGTGTACACAACACAGAAGTCCCGCTTGATGTCAAAGCAAAACTACTCGCAAATGCGGCTCTCAAATGCACAGAACAAAATCGCTTTAGGACAAGTCATAGCCTAAAAAAACAATTAAAAAAACACTTTCATGTAGTCAAAGATGGATCAAGAAGTGTTCTTCAAGAATTCAGGTGTGATTTTTAGCAAACAATCGTATATATATATATATATATATTTATGACAAGCATTTTTCTCGACGAATCGTCAAATCAAAGACTTCCTGACAAAACTTATAATATTTCTATAGATAAGCTTAATTTATCTTAATGCTGGATGAAATATAGCACGAAGAACATATTACAACAATTATTCGTCCTTTATTTAGCTTTGTAAATCTTTAACAATTCGTTTACTTTTAACCAACTATCGCATGTTTTTCGTTCAAGAAAAATGCAGCTTTGTTTGTCACCTATCGCGGGGTCTCATCGGCAAAACAAAGAAGACTTTCATTCAATAATTTTATATCTTTTTACAGATAATTTATTTAATTATTGAATGAAATATAAATTTACACCAAATATTCAACTGTTTATTAAGCT